AATAAGTTCACCAATCGCACATACTTTGCACCCTATGCATACAAAACGGAGCTGAACACGCGCAAGTTCAAAGTGGAGGATCTGGCGCGTCTCAACAAAACGCACGAGCTCTACACCGAGAAGAAGTACTTCAAGTTCCTCAAACAGCGCTGGAACACGAACTTTGATGATCTAGAGACGTTCTACATGAAAATCAAGATACGCCACAATGAGACAGGTGAATACCAGCAAAAGTACGAGCACTACCCCAACTCGTATCGCGCCGCAAGCATCAAGCACGGCTACTGGACTCAGCCGCAGTTCGATTGCCATGGCTATGTCAAGAAGTGGTTGGTGACCTATGCGGTGCCCTTCTTTGGGTGGGACAGCCTAAAAGTCAAACTGGAATTCAAGTAAGTAAACCATAAAAAGGGTAGGGCCCACTTTTCGTTTAGGTTTTAGACGGGCTGTTGGGCCGGTCCGCTGCGTGCCGCCGTCGCGGGCCTGCTCACCCCTTTTAGGGCCAGTCCCATACTCGTTCCCAATCCCATTGCCATTCACATGCAAATGTTTTGTATGTAGTTTCTATGATTTGATTGTCTAATTTTCGAGTGTTGACATGGCCTAACTTATGACTTGTGGCTCTTCATTCGCATTGTCATGCAAATGTGAGCAATTAAACTGACTAATTTGTTGACTCTTCTCGCAGGGGTGTGGTCGCTGTGTCCATGGATATGCTGCAGCTGGACATTAATCAATGCCCGGACTGGTACTACGAGCCAAATGCCTTTAAGGGCACGCACAAGTGCGATGAGAAAACCTCATATGTAAGTATTTACTGTATTTAGCTGTAAACTCTTACTAATATCTTTTGCATTTTCACAGTGTGTGCCCATCATGGGGCGTGGGTATGATACTGGCGGATATAAATGTGAGTGCCTGCAGGGCTATGAGTATCCATTTGAGGATCTTATCACCTACTATGACGGCCAGTTGGTTGAGGCAGAGTATCAAAACATTGTTGCCGATAAGGAGACGCGTTACGACATGTTCAAGTGTCGCCTAGCTGGTGCATCAGGCTTGGAATCGGCGCTGGGTTTGGTCATCTCACTGATTGGCCTTACGTTAACGCTACTTTATAGATTTAGTTAAACGTCCAAAAGCCAAATATCTAACTTCAATTTCCGTCCACACGAAGCTCACATCAAACTCTTCATAAAAAGTAAAAACAAAAAAAAATCGTAAAGAAAACTGACAAAGCAACAGCAACTGAAAGACACAAAATTGACACCCAAAACAAAACGCGCTGTTGCCGAAAAAAAAATCACAGAAAACCCAACCAAGTTGTCCGTTCCGAATTCTATATATATTTATATATATATATATGTATTCTTATATATTTTATATTCTCTAGATGCGCCTTTGAACATTGTCATCATTTATCTGCAAGGCGATTAAGTTGTAGACATAATCTATTACAATGAATCTGGTTATTTGTCATTTCTATCAAAAGCGGCAGCAGCAGCAGCAGAAGCAGCAGAAAAGCGCAAACAGCCGCGCCTACTGCGCTCAGATTACGGAAGCGTCGTCTCTACTGTTGTTGCTGCTGCTGCTGCTGCTGATGATGGTGCGACTGCGGCCCTTGCTAATGTCCGTGAAGCTGCACAGCTGTGTGCGTGTGTGCTCGCTCAGAGTTTGCAAACCTGTTAACATCAAAACCCAGTTAGGCCCCGTACCTACACCCATCCTCCAGAGCCAGGCTGAGGGTTGTTTGTGCCGCACGCACACCTTTCTTGCCTGGCCAGCGGCTGGGCATAGCCTTTTGGCTAAAAAAAAAGTAGACAAAAAATAACCGAACGCCTGCCGTCGTGTTTTTCTTATATTAAATCGTCGACATTGCGGCGTCCGATGGTCCATTGGCCATTTTTTGTTGCCTGAATTAAATATGCCAGCGTTTCCTCTTTTTGCGCCTTGATTATCATATGCGCTTGAATTTTTATTATCTATACCCTGAGAACTTTTTCTATGCGCCGCAGGAACCAGTTTACCAGCCACTTGGTCTTGGACTTGGTCTCCTGCCAGGGCAACAAAAAAATAGCCAACTCTTCTTTTTTCATTAAAAAAATGATAGGTAGCTGGACTTGGACATCTACACAAAAAATATTTTCACACATTTTTCATAGTCATATCAGGGCAACAGCGCGCCGGTGGGCAGTGACGACCGCTGCGTTTTGGGCAACTCCTCCATTTCCATTTGTGCCGTTGCCGGCTGCAGGCAGGAGCCGGCGCCGCGGGTACACAATTCAAGTGGTATATTTATACATATATAAATATATACATATAGATTAAAGTGTCTTAAGCAGAGTCTGGTCTGCTCTTGAATATACATATATCCATATATCAGTTTGTAGGACAGTACAAAAACGAAACAATCGATAAAGTGTTAATTGTGCCTTAAAAACAATAATTCCATGCTCGAATAAATATATATATATATATATATACATATATGTAGACTAAATCGTAAGTCCGTCCATTTAATCAATCTCTTTTTCTATGTATTGTTAATATTAAGTGCCTTGACAGAATGAATATATTCGAATTTTATGTATACCGACTTTTTTTATAGCCCATATTGTATAGAGTTTTAAGTCAAAACACCACGCAGTGTTCGAAGCAGAAATCATGTTTAGCTCGAAAAGCAACTTTTGTAAATGCTTTGTACACAATACACAATTTATAGTTAAAACTAACATTAATCATGATTTTCTTTCCACTTACCAAACTTATTCATATTGACTTCCACGTTAAGGCTGACTTCTACAATCACGAACGAAACGCACACAGTTCAAATAAAATTTGCAAACTTTATGATTTATCGAGTGCAAAAGGACTTTCCGTTAAAGGTTATTATTTTTGAAACAAAACACAAACAAAACACAAGACCTTGGAAAACCAAATTAAATGTTGCCGCCCGTTGATCGCCGGGCGTCACGTTTCTCTTATATCGCGGTAGTTGTGTGCACGACTGAACTGAAACGATTTAGTTACGATCGGCCCAAGCTATCCGCGAAATATGAAGAATAAATCGTTAGTTCGAACTTTGATTTATTTTTGATCCTTTTAGAATTTTAACAAATTTTGGAAGGGTTTCAATTTGAATGAGAGATGTTTTTGTACTGAGGTTTCTTTATTGTATGTCCGCATGTGAGATTTTTTTACCAACTGACATTTAACTCAAGGCAACCAAGAGAAATGAAAGAGAAGCAAACATTTTGCCATTTTTTGTAGTGTTTTTTTTTTTTAGTTTTGTGTCGTTTATTATTTTCTGGTTTATTACAATTACAGTTTCCCGCTACACTGACAGCTGCCTCCGTTTCTTTGGGTGGGAGTAGCATTATGTAGTTGGCTATTAAACATCTTTAAAAACTATCACAAATCAATTATTGAATGTGGCTACATAATTCAATACAATTACAAAGTAGGCAGCTGCGAAATTGTATGCTTCAATTCGAGCTCCATGTCGCCACGAACAAGGGAGCGAACGCTCCTCAGTCATTGAATGCTTGTGTGGATGCATCAGGATTCAATCATACAATCCCCAGCAACAACTAACACTAAAACAGATCGGTTTCGGTTATTCAATTTGTTTGGAACAATACACACAACACTTAGCTAAATAACAAACATAACACACGAACATTTCAAAAACAATCACTAATAACATTCAAATCCGATCCGGTTTTGTTTCAAATAAAAAACGCACCTTAAATAAAAGAACCCACGAATCAAGTATAAATCATCTTTGGATCTTCCATTTGGTTTTTAGTTGATAAAATGAGCTTACAATTAAACGGGTCATTTTTGTTCTATGTGTCTCTAAAATTTGAATGTGATGTCTACGAACAATATCCCTTAGACTAAGTAGTATACCGAATTTTGGTATTCAACAATGAGTTATAAACTTCGGATTTTAGTATCCCTTTCAAGGTGTGCCGTAGTGTGGATATACTTTAAAATATTCAATAATATAATCTTTATTTTATAAATTTGGTTTATATATAAGTACTATATAATTGCTAAAAACAATTGGCTTCGATATATCATTCAATTCTTTTTGTCTGTTTTTTGTTTTTTTTTTATTTAATTACATTTAATTTTGTGTTTTTTTTTTTTTGTTTCTCATCTAATATATTTTTTGTGTATATCAGTAAGTACTCAGTAAAGTTCAGGGGCATATTTGAGCTCAGTTACATAAGGGGCTCCATCTGTCTCTTCATGCTGGTTCTGGTTCTGTTTCTGTTTCAGTGTGCATGGGCTTTTGCGTGGGTTCTGTGACTCTACGAAAACTCTATTTCGTGTCGCCTACGAACTACAGGGTATCTGTACTTGTTGCGTATAATTAGTAAATATTTGAGCAAAATTCGAACTGCATGTGATTTCAATAAAAACTCTTACAACAACAACGATAATAATATGATAAACTTGTAACGATATAATATTCTGTGGTACGTACGCCCCAAAACATACTCTAAGCTGCCTGGTTGTTGCTGCAAACGTGTGTTCACTGTACTTTGCATACATTCCATTGATATGCAGCAGCTTGGCCAACCAGCGGCTAATCCGTGGGCGCGTAATACACCACCGTGGACTTGCGTCGGAATCCCAAATTGAAGAACGATGTCTCCGATTTCTTGCGATCATGTTCGTGCTCGTGCTCATTGCCAAAATAGGAGAAGAGGCGTCCGGTGCCGGTGGGTGGGGCGCGAGTTCCGCCGCTGCCACGTCGGCTGCCGTGGACACTGTGGCTGCTGCTCTGCCGATGGATCATGGTTAGCGATGTGTGCGAATGCTGTCGCTGCAGATTCTGCTGCTGCTGCTGGTGCTGGTGGTGGCGATGGTGGTGCTGCTGATGTACAAGCTGCTGGTGGTGGTGTGCGTTGGTGCTGCCATGCAGAAACCCAGCTGAAGTTGGCGATAGATCAGTCATCTCACACGGCCAGAGGGTGAACGAAGATGGGACCTTATGTATCCCGTCCGATAGTCGATAATGGTGGGATGCTGACCTGTTGAAATACCGCTCCGAGGGCCGCGACCCCATCTATATATGTATATATTGTGTGTGTGTGTGTTTGTTTTTTTTTTTTTTTTTGGTTTAACCAGAGCAGTGTAGAGTGTGGAGCACAAAGAAGAGTTAAGATATTAGCAGATGGCATAGAAATATTTTGACTACATTTGCTTTATTTTCTAGGCAATTCGTGTTCAATTCTAATGCATTGTATGTACATATATGAATTCTGTTTTGAACATTTTTTCATTTGATTTTAGCTTTTAATATGTATAAATACTCGTATATACAAAGCGGATCAACTGCTTTATATTTCGATAGAGTTGGCTTACTTTAGGGCAGGTTACTTTTACAGGATATCTGTTAGTTGATCAGCAATGCATTTACATAGTCTAACTAGTTGACACTAAGATTGTAGGCGTCTAAGATTTGTTTGCTAGCATGTTTTTTTTTTTTTAAATATATTTTTACTGATTTTTTACTGATGTTTCTTAAGTATGTCACATTTAATATTTTATATATTTACATAATTAGTGTTAGTGTCTGTGTTCGTGTGTGTAAGAGTGTGTGCGTGTCATTAAAGGGCAATTGTAGGTTTAAGCGGAGGCTGTTCGCAGGTGCCACACATATATATTTCTATATAGAGATCCAGTAAGCTGTGCCGTTCTATTTATCGTTGAAAAACATTGAAATACATTTACAATAATGTAAGCAAAGTGCAACTATTTACAATGGTTTAGCAAAAATCCAAAAAAATCAAAATATTCGAATATAATATGTATTAGAATTGTGTATAGTTAGTTAGTTCAGAAAAAGTACGAGGGTGGCTAGTAAAGTTTCTATAGCTAATGTTCGAAAAAAATTCTTTAAAGCGCTCACCGTTTCGTTTGTTTCGCAATTTCAAGTATTATTGTACTTTTTACTAATTAATTGGTAAAAAATAATTGGTTTAGTTTTTTTTTTGTTCACGACATTTACGACATTTATAGAGAGCATTTGTGATCCGTGGGGCTGAACAAAAACTTGCCAAAAGCCACACACGTTTGCTACAAAAATTTGCTTTATTTTGGGATCGGGTTATTTTTCATGCGCTTGGCTCAAACAACATATGAGTTCGTGTTGACGGCATAATATTTTCGTTTATGTTTATAATGGGACGCATAAATATGCTGCGATCTGTGAATTAAACAAAAAAAAAAACGTAATACGAAGAGAACAAGAGTTATAGAAATAGAAAGAGAAAAAAAGAGGAGAGAGAGAGAGAAAGAGAACAACACATAATTTAAAGAGGACTTTAAGCAGAACAAAGAAAATATATTTCGAAACCAAATGCATCCGCAAACTCCGACTCAACTAACTCTAAATGGTGGCAACTGTACCTTACGAGTTACTCATCAATTTTACAGGCAATAGCAATATGTTGAGGTACTTACCCCAAACTCCATTGGACTTTCTGATCTTTCGTATTTCTTTACTGTTTTTTTTGGTTTGGAAAATCATTTACAAAATATATGTGTATTTCTTGTTGTCTGTTTTTTTTTTTTTTTGTACAGAATATCTGTGATTTCTTATTGTATTTTGGTTTTTCCAACTTTTAGCTTATGTGGTGCGAGAAGGAACGCGTGATGTGCCGTTGCGCATATCTCGTGGACGGTCCGGTGACTGCAGCATCTCGTTTACAAAGCGCTGGCCTACCGCTACGTGGTATTTATTGTGGTATATTTTGTATATTTGCAGTATATTTTAATTGTTCGAATTTTGCAATGAGAATTGAATGTTGTATTTGTTGTACAATTAGTGTAGATAATTTAGCCAGGTTGATACGTGTGATGTGAGTTCGTGTTAAGTGTCGAAATAATTAGAGAGAGAGAGAGAGAGAGAGAGAGAGAGAGAGAGAGAGAGAGAGAGAAGGAGAGAGAGAGGCAGAGAGAGCGTTTCAAGAGGGGGAGACAATCGTATAGATAGACGGGTAGGCAGATCGTGGCAGAGGTGAAGAATAGTCGAGAAGAAAACAAGAAGAAAAGAAGCAATTGTACAGATTAGCGGTGTTTACAATATATAGAAAATTAGAAACGTATATACTACTAGAGAGAGCTGCTAATTTAAAAATTTTGTTCGTATTCAAAGTAAATAAATGAGAAATTGTGTGAATTGATTTGCTTAGACAAAAAAATAAATAGATTTCTTTCGTGATGCTTATTAGAAAAATTAACCAAAACACTTTGCTTTATTCTCCTTCATCCTCCATTCGAAAAATGTATAGAGAAGGTGAATTTATTTTTTTGTGCAGTGTCAGATCTTAATGAGAACGACGAGTGCTTTTTGAAAATTTGCAAGACTTTAGCTGTTGTAGAGCACTTTTATTAAAGAGGACAAAATATCCCCGAGAGAACTTACCTTAATGTTTATTTTTTTTAATGTTTAAGTAAATAATAAGCACTTTTACTAACTATTACCTAAGCTACTTAAGATTGACTCAAAACTACTCAAACTGTGTATCTTATCAAAAGACAAGAGATAAATAAAATATGAATTATAATCGAAAGTTAACTTCATTTGCAGCTTATGGAGAACAAAATCAAATAAAACAATCCGATGCAAGAAATTAAATAGGAATAAGAAATCATCTTCAAACCCTCTTTAAAGCAATCGATTAGAAATATTTAAGGAATACTTATCATGTCATATTATATAGTAGTTTTTAAGTAATGCCCTGCCAAAAACTCAAACCCGTCAGCTCAAACTTACGAGTCGAACTTTGAAATAAGCGGAATTGAACTTAAACCAATATTTAACTGTTGAGTATTAATCTTTGTTAAGGTTTCGGTCTTTGAGTACGGTTTGCCCGTACGACATATAATAACAGAAAAAGTTACTTTCAGCTTTGAGCACCGTTTTAATGCTTAAATTAATAAAATATATAATTCTTTTTTTGCCATCGGCATTGCGCGAACTCTCGAAACTCACCTCGCATTGTGACCCAGCATTATGATGCTTCTGTAAATACAATTGAGAAATGTCGACACCATTTTTTATTTAAGAATTAAGTAGAGTATATAGCAATAGTGTAGAGTTTAGTAGATAGAAGTCGTTTAAGTTTAGAGACAGAACACACAGGAGAGAAAATCAAAGAGAAACTGAAACAGAAAGTCAATAGTTTTTGAAAAGTAACGTAAGTGGCCAATGGGAAATGTTATAGATAACCAATAAATACGATTGTAAAAACATGCCAATAATTAACAATTTATGTGAATTTTTATTTCAATATTTTATTTATAAGGGATTTTTTGTATTTATTGCTGTGCTCCCGTAACCATACCATACGCACACATATACACTATAGATCGCATTCTAAATTGCTTTTCACAGCTAGAATTCTTGAATATGTAAATTTACAAATAACCTTAAACTATAAGGAACTGAACAATGGGGGACTCTGAGTCAGTCATGCTACGTAATCTGGATTTCTATTATAGCTTGCGCCCTGTTTACAAAGTGCACACAGTTGAAGATATTGAAAGAAATAATATGAACAACAAAATATCAAAATTTTATTCAAGTATTTACAGCTTTTTGTCTTTTAACAAACATTTCTAGCCATGTGGTTTGTACGAAACGAAATGAAAGTTAACGAAAGAATTGAAAATTAGAACTTGTGACATAAGCAGCGTGTACTATCAACTGATCGCACAACAAGCAGCCAAAAACAAGGAACCAGGCTGAAAGAACAATAGCATCCATTTCTTCAAATGCTGTTGGGGGTCTTAACAGGTCTATATTAATCAAATTTCGCAACACTAGCGAGCGTCAAGCTACGGTAGTTGATTGATTGAGTGTGTGTGTGTGTGTGTGTATTATGGTGTGTGATTTTTGGGTGTAAGAACTACAATAATCGAACCTCAGCATGGTTAATATTGGCAACAACATCCATTTACAAAGATATTTTATACAAAGGTGGTCGGAAAAAAACAATAAATTATATTTGTAACTTGGGTTCATATATATGTACGTATATGTATAAGTAGTATGTATACTGGCAGTTTTTGCTATAGAAATCTCTGAACTGCCGTCAGATAACGAAATGATTAAAAGTGTTAACAACAATTAAACAATATCTTCAAAAAACACATTAAGAAAAACAACAAGTAGTTTTCATTGGCCAACTGCACAACGGCCTGAAGTAGTGTTGTTAAACGGCATATATATAAAGGTATTTATAGTTGTAGTGTTGTGTAACAAGGCATATATGTATATAGTTGGAGTGTTGTACACAGGTATAACTAAATTGAAATATTTTCATTTATAATAGGTATATATGTATGTATATCTTTTGAAAGGGTGAGCACAAACTTTGGAAGCCAGGGTGTTGTATTTTCATATAGTATATTTTTGTGTGTGGTTTACTATAAGATTCGAGTATAGTAAGTATATATTATACTTATTCAGTCAGTAAAAAATCTGCCATGTTTCTGGTATATTGTGTGGCACTCAAGCTCAAGATCTCTTAAAACGTTTCGGTTTCGGTATTTACTATCTTATGATGCCAACGTTTATACAACTATGTTAATGTAATATAGTATTGTTGATATAATGGTAATAGTTTTTTGGTTTTTGGGAAGTTTTTGGGTTTTGCTTGTGTATTTGGCCTACCGAATGAGCATAGCGAATTTCGGCTAATTCACAACAACATTGGTAACGGAGAATGGCACGAACGCTCTTTCTGCAAGATGTTTGTTTATATAAAATTAAATATATATTTTTATGTTATGCATACAAGTATATTAGAGACAAATTAATAAGTTTAATGTATTTTTTTTTTTTAATTTAATGTTTATTTTATTAATTTCATATGAATTTTACTTAGCAAATCAACAAATGAAAATTACACGAAAATACGTTTTTCTTATACTGAAAAATAGTTGCATGAAACAAAGATATAAATGAAAATAATTACAATAAAAAAACGAATCAAACGAAAATCGTGAATTATTGAAAAAACACGCACGAGTTGTAATCGCTAAGAAAATTAGCATTATAATTGCATAATAAATGTTTAGCATTATAATATTACAAAAATAAAACTATAATGGCAAACAGGTCTGTACTCACCGTAGCAGACGCGTTATGTAGTCGGGCCAGTTCTCGGGAAACATGACGAGGAAAAAGCCAATGGCAATCAGAATAACGCCAGCCAGTTTCATGCCCGCAAATGTCGCACTGTACAGTATGACATCGAGTGCTAATATATGAATATGTATATAAAATATAGATAAAAACATTAAATTTCAGTTTCATTTAGACACATCTGTTAAAAGTGCCTATTTATAAGAAACGACTGGCAGGTATTTCCCGATCTTGTGTTGCATTTTCCAACCTTGGGAATTTTCTCTTGAATTCCACGCTTGAAGTAGATGGGATGAAAACGAAAAGTTGGGATCAAATCATTCCGCCTATATTACTAGCGTTGAATATATATAAAAGGGTATAAATATACGCATCGTGGTATGAAGATTAAACTTTCGCTCATACAGCCATTGACCCCATTTTCCAAAAAGGAGGGGTGTTTTTTACCCGAAACTTCACCTACCAAATCTCTGATCTCTATTACTAACACGATAGAGATATTATCAACAAAGTAGGGAGCACAAATCAATGATTCGAATCATCGAATTTACGGGTTAAACTCGAATACAACTATTGTAGCTTTTCGTAACTACTTCGAGCTAAACGAAATAATAATACTCCTTTGACCCATTATGGCAAATATGTATGTGTATACATACAGTTTAGATTGCAATTTAGAATAATATATGGTCACGAAATGCTTCAAGCGAATTCCCTTGTTGGGCCCTTGTTGCCATTGCTAAGGTATTTGTTGACCCGAAACCAAAACAGAGCTGAGCAGCAGATTTGAGAGGTTGTGAACGTACCACCAGAAACGGGCACTGCGGTTATCAAACCCAATGTCACAAACATGTTGTAGGTAACGGCGGCGCTGAACTGCATGAGTACGTGGAAAACTGCAATTAAAATTAATTACAACAATAAAAAGGAAGTAAATAAATTTTGTGTGCAGCTGCTAGGCTTACCCAGAAGCAGGACGCTTGCGACAAGCAGTATATTCCATGGTATGCTTTCCGATGCCAGATTCTCGGCGCCTGTAAGGTACAGCGCCAGGACAACGGGCCACAGCAGTAAAGCATTGAGCAGGCCCAGTGCGGTGAATGTGAATGCGATTTGGGCCACCGGCGGATCGCCCATCACCTTGCGGAACATAACCTAGAAAGTGGAGCAGCTGGCGACATGAGCACGACATGCCCAACACACGAAAGGGCTTGACAGGCTTACCCTAAACACGGCATAGCCGGCAGCAGCTAACGTGGCCAGCACGACGCCGCCCAATGTGCGACTTTCCGTAATGCCGTCCATATAGGCAAGCAGAGCAATGCCCGTGTCGCAAAGGATAACGGCCACAATCTAAGGTAGGTATTGTTATTTTTGCCAGTGAGCCATGGCACGCTGGGGAGGCGGCTCCCATACTCACCCTCACGCCAACGAACTGCTCGTGCAGTATGACCCAAGAGAGCAAATAGACGCAGGCAACATTTGTGGCGAACAGTGCCAGTGCATCCGTGGCAAAGAGCACGTGCAACGACAGCGTGTATAGATATGTGGTTACCAGCCACAGAATGCAGAAGGACAGGCAGCGATTGAGGAAACGGCCTGTAAAATGCCTGCATATTGCATTTCGAATGCGATTGACCCATTTTATGAAGCCACTCACCAATGGTGAAGCCGCGCTCGCGAAATCCTCGCAGCACTTCGGCGAGTATCTCGCTCAGCTTATCGCACTTGCGGGCCGAGATGAGGCCCAGTATATAGATGGGAAAGAATAGTAAGGAAAAGTTGGTAAAGAACCAGGCCGCAAAGAACGGCGCATTAAAGTAGATGGGCTGGCGCGGTGGTATGTTGAACATCTCGGTGGCGTCCTCGACATGATGCAGCGACGAGTCGCTTATGGCCAGTATATCCTCCAGTTCGCTGCTGAGCTCGGCGCGGCTCGACGACGTGTCCAGATCATCTTCCAGCTCGTCTTCATAGGGTGCGCGATACAGATACATGTACTTGATGCAATGCGTGGCGCCCACCCATGAGGCAGTCACTAGAATGGTAACGCACACGCCAAAGTACATCTGCAGGACCCGTTGGTGCCTCAGTAATACTTCTATTATATAGAATATATATTCAGACACTCACCTTCTTGGCCAGCTCGGAGCAGCAGGACTCTTTGCAGGCCTTGAGCTTGCGAAAACGCACTTCCGCATCCTCGCCTGCCTGGCCATTTGGCTGCTGATCTATGCCCAATTGTCCAGTCTGTGCTTCGCTTGAGTCGCCGCCAAAATGATGCTGGGACCCGTGCGCGCCAGTGGGCGTGTCCGCCTGTATGGTAATGACCTCATTGGGATCCTGTTGGCTCGATGTTATTGAATCTTGGTGGGTTATTTGCGGATTGCTGGAGTTGAGCACATTGCTGAAGCCACAGCCAGCGACAGCGCTTATGCTACTGCTGCTGGCACCGCCTACCACGCCGCCGCTATTATTGTTATTGTACAGTCCATTCGACGGGGAGTCGCCGGTGACCACCACGGAGGGTGTGCGCACGCGTTTCGGATTAAAGATGGCTGGAATTTCGCCGTCGCGCGTCATTCTATCATTGCTAAGCGCCGCTGACTTTCATAGTGCCCCGTTCCTGTCAATCAAAATAAGTCATAAATATTATTATAATGATGGATGTTCTGGATTAAAGAGTGAATGTGACTTGTTTCAGGAATAAATTGATTTCATAAAAACATTTAAATGGGCTTGGCATCGTGGCATCAAAAATATTTTGTACTTGTTTGAAGCTTAAAATAGGATTGTTTTAAGAACATATTGTGCTTTCTTTAAGAATATTATAATTTGTTAATTTGTTTTTAGTTTAATAGGCGTTAAGCCTTGAAATTATGCCTACAAATAAAACATGGTGAAAGTTTATACGTGCTTTAAAGAGAATACCTAAAAAAGACCGTTTTTATAATATCTTTAAGTTCAGTTTTACTGGACGTAAATACTTATAACTATTAAATTTCTAATTTATCCTAGCTGTGGAGGGATATTCGAAAAGAACTCTGAGATGCTCTGGTAGTGTTGTTCCAAAACTCCAAATGGCCGTCTGAGCGAATGACTCGCCATTAGTCACTCACGTGCTCGTTCCGATTAGCTGGGTAGCCACATTCAAGGCGAACGGGTGCGGGCACCGTCTCCAGCTGCTTGATGGCCATCTTGCAGGCAATGTTAAAGGCTTGTTACAAGCAAAGGGCAAGCCCGCACCCAATCACGCAACGTTAAGCACCAGTAATTTGCATACGCGTTTCGGCCAGCTGCTGGTTGGCCAAAAACTCAAGGCAAGCAGCCAGGTTTCATTGCTAAATGGCCAACTGACCTGACGCCTGCCGCAGCAAGGATAACGTCGCTTTCGATTGCACAATAGCTATATGTGTCTTGTGTATATGTGGATGTGTCCGTGTGTATTGGTGTGTGCGGGTGCCTCATGACAATGAGAATTATGAATGCCTCAGCGTGCAGGTCAAGTTGAGCCAAAGTCAACGTCGTCTGTGTGGACAATAAACATTCACATTGTTGCTGCCTGCCACAGCAAGTGGGGCAATTTGTTTAGCTTTTACTGCTGCATTAAATATGGCTAGCTGCCCTCGCTTGAAGGCCACATCAAAGTTCTGGCGCCCTTCAAGTTATCTATTATGCGTCTCACAGGGAGTCCTACTGCTTGTCTGTGATAATGACATTCTAATGGAAACATTAAATATTAAGACCAGAGACAATGGGCCATGGGCAAATAAATAAGTTTATGGCCCGCCATCGATGAATGAATAGATTTGCAATTACCTATAAACGATCAGTACTCAATATAAATACTTATATTGATTAAATAGCTCGCGGACGTATGTATTATATATTGATATAGTCATTAAATCATTCTTTAATACACAGAAATTTATATCATTTAAATTTATCTGATGGCGATGCAAACTCTTCTGTTTCGATCTCTGAACAAAATATAAAATTATTCATTTATGCAAATACGATAAGTATTGCTATCCAGCGTCTCTCGTATCTAACAACAGTTAGAGTCACCTTTGCGACTCTCCCCTCCCCATTCAAGACCAGGACAACAGCAAAACAACTGGTTGGCCTTTGTGTACATGGAAAGTTAAATAGGATACAGGGTATTGCTAAAAGGGATATTCTTGAAAAGAGCACTCTGTTTATAGCTATTCCAAAAGACCAAAGCTAAAAAGATCTCTTATTATTTAATTTATTATTGAAATTCTTTTACTGCGATATCTCTCTTAATTAATTGTATTAAGTGAGAAAATGTTTAAGCTGACCTCCAACCATATAGTTCTCATAGAAGTTGAGCGATTGTAAATTGATTAGCTGCTTGCTCCAAGCTGCTTTCAGTTTGCTTTGAGCTCTCAGGTAGACGAGAAATGGATGCGGCTAAGCATGTTGGAAATATGAAAATTCTGGGAAAACTTTTTGTTGTGCTAATTGGCACTTTGCTGAGCGGTGAATGGCAACTTTTATTTAAGTGTATGATTTGCAATATGCTAATGCTTTGCATTTTCAGCCACTGCAGGCGCGGAGTTGAACTGCGGCAACCTCGAGGAACGATTGCTCTTCAGCAAAGACAAGTCAACGCAGCCCGCCGAGTACCCCTGGATGGGAGTACTCTTCCAACGCAAAGGTGAGCTGGTAGGCGTGTAAGCCGTAGAGCACAACCTTTGATAGGGACTATTTCGATCGTTGTTAGGTCAGTCATTTGAGAACGCCGGCTGCAATGTGGTCATCGTGGGCGAATCGCATGTCCTGACCACAGCATCGTGTGTGCGAGACCATTATGACCACCCGGAGATGATTGCCGTGCGGCTGGGCATTTGGAATGAAAGGGATGAGCCCGACGAGAAGCTAGTCTGCAATGATAGAGGTTTTTGTGTGCCTGGGCCCGTGCAGCAAACGGTTGCGGCGATTACGATGCATCCACAGGCGGATAAGGTTACGGGCGACATTGATTTGGCCATTTTGCGGCTATCGGATCGGATCAAAATGACTGCCCACGTGCAACCGCTGTGCTTGCAGCCAATTTCAGAGCCCGCCTCATGGATCAATCGGTATTTCCACTTCGGCGGCTTTGAAAACAGTAACTACCGCAAGGGCAAAGGTCTTGCAATGGCCATATCGAAGAATCGCTGTAGTCGGCTGAGTGGAAAATCGAGCCCATCGCAAAATCAGTTCTGCGCATTTCCTGTGGAGCGCACTGTCTTCTATAGAGGCGCTGCCCTGATGGGCATGAACATTGAGAAAGATGTGCCGCGAAGCTTCTATTTGGTGGGCTTACTGGTAAAGGTTGTGAGTGAGGGAGGTCCGACGGTTTTATTTATCCAAGACATAAAACCCTGGCGCCGCTGGATTATGGAGAATACCCGCTAAGCGAGCGTATATTGATAATCAATTTTATAAAATATGTAAATCTGTTGTATAATAATTTCCGTAAATATATTTTTCTTGCTTGACTAGACTTTACTTGCTTGTCGATTATTATGATTGGGTCTTTCCACTATATAACTATTCACAGTATATAACTGGAATTCTTATGAATGTAATTGTGAAAAAGTGGGTCGCGAGTATAGTTTTAGGATATTTTTATAGAATTGAACAAGCGGATCTGGTAGAACAATGTAAGTTAGGACCAGTCTCGGTAGATGAATTGTTGAATTGGTTCAGTCATTCAAGTAACTGAACAAGAAGGATCCGTGATTAAATTTTAGATTTGAGCAATGATGTAGGCATGCCCAAGCCAAAGACACTCTGGTCTGCCTGGTATAGACAATTAAAAAATACTTGGGTCTAATACGAAATTCTTCTTTCCAGAAACTTTAAATAGGAGAACAGCATTAAGAAGTTCTTTAAATTAAAAGAACGTCCTTCAGATAAAAAATTACAACTTGGATCACATTTGTAATTGATTCAAATTAAAATTCTCGTTTTTCTCTGAGTGTACTTTCAAAGAATACAAGTGAAGCCAAACTTATCGAGCAACCCTCTTATTGTTTTACAATATTACAATGCCTTTACTGGCGCTAATGTCATAGATATAAGATTTCCAGTTTAGTTAATTTCAAGTCGTGCTCCCAGATGCAGCTTGAGTTCGGTTTGTTTTGTGTGCTTCTCGCCACCGGAGCTGTGCGATCAGCCAGCTTGGAAGATGCCAAATGTGGTTACATAAGCGAGGAGGAGCTGCTAAGGCAGAATAATTTTGCGGTGCCCACGGAGCATCAGTGGCTGGCACGCATAATGTATAAAAATGGTAAGATATCGAGCAGAGGACACGTTAGGCACTAATTGATCCAACCACCAGGACACGAGACCAAGCTGCCAAATGATGGATGTCTCGGCGTGCTCATATCCCCGCGTAACGTTTTGGCCCCCGCCCACTGTTTTCTGCTGTACGATGGGCGTGCCAATGCCTACTCTGTGCAGCTGGGCGTATGGAACAAGACCTCCAAGGCAAACGAGGCTGACTGCGCTACCGATGGCTACTGCGTAATGCCTGCCCAGGAAATACCAATAGTGGGGGTCGCTATTCATCCCGAGTACGATCCAGTTTCGCTGAAGCACAGTCTGGCGGTGCTCACCCTCAAGCGGGATGCGAGTCGGACAACAAATGTAATGCCCGTCTGCATGCCGCCCTCGTCGTCGTTGCATGAGACTCTGGTGGGACAGCTGTTCGTTGTAGCCGGCCTGCCCACCAATTCTGAGCTCAAGCACAAGACCTGGGTGCATACCATCAGTAGACCCTATTGCCAGGAAAAGCATGGCACACTCGTTACCAACAACCACACCGTCTGCGGCTATCAGGATCGCATGAAGATGTATTATGTGGGCGCACCACTGGTGGGCATACAGGTGAGCTCGGATGAGCCGCAATACTTTTACCTGGTTGGCCTGCTGCTCGACTCCAAAAAGGTGGACGATAAAGAGCTCATCGTAGCCAGCTATTTGGATGTGCGTCCCTATATTGGATTTATTAATCGCAATGCCGAATTTTAGTTCTGAATTGTAATAAACTAAGCCAAGCAGAAAATAAAACAGGCAACAGTTGACAACTTGTCGGACGTGTTAATTATTCAGTTACCACACTCTGCCGGGCCGTCCCAGCCTAGAATTTATTTGGCTTCAAGCTCATGCAATATGCAAATTGTTTATATACTATTAATAGCTAATGTGAGAATTATGGAGATTGCAGCCGAAGTTTTTCGTTTTCCTTTTGTGGGTTTTCCGAAAACTGCAACGCTAACTATGACGGCCACTTTGACAGTAGATGGCAGACAAGTGACAGGCGACAGCGCCGCCAGAAATGTTGTCATTTTATTGGGCTAAACGAGAAGCGGAACACGTTGGCCGTTGGCCACCTGCCAAAGCATGCAAAATTGGCTTTCACGTTAGATTTTAATGGCTCTGAGACCTGGTGATAATTAAAGCCGAGCAGCAAATGCCTTGCGCATCAATGAACCATCTAGGGCATTTGTATAGAAACCCTTTTATATCATATTGGTTGCCTAAATAAGCCTGAAATTAGCAATATCTGCGTGACGTATGACTTAACGTGCTTGTGCCTTGGATTTGTATGAGTTTCATGCACAAATATTATTCTAGATTTAGGGCATGTACGAATTTTATAAGAGAATTAAATTATTCATTTAAAAGGGTCTTAACAGGAGAAAGAGGTTTTATATATATAATGTGCTTATCGAAATCGGGTGAAAAAAGGGTAAATGGTTCGTGCAAATATATATAACATGCAAAAGAAATCATGTTCGATCCGATAAAGTGTATATATTCTTAATCAGGACGACGAGCTGAGACGATTTGGTCATGTTCGTCTGCTCGTCCACCCGCTTGTATGAACGCGATTTACAAAAATTCTACATAAATACATCTTTAAGTACATAAGCAGATGTTTATATTGTGCTATATTTTATGATTTGAAGAAAAATATTAAATTGACTGAGGGGTACTATAGAATCCCCGCTACTATAGAATCTTGTTCGGATATTATCGAATTTACATGCATTATAGCCTCAACTTCAGCTAATCGGATGTCGGATTTTTAGTTTTCTAACATCTTTGATTGCGGACATTTTGGATCCCATTAAGTATATATGCATATGATGTTTACTAGTTTCTAGGTTTAAGATATTTCTTGCAGAAACTTGAACTAGATTAGTGCATTGGCTTGAGGACCTACAAATGACGAATTCGGCAGAATCGGAATCAAATCAAATTTATTCACGTTCACGTGTACTGTGGTTACCTTATGTAATAAAGGAGGGCGTTAAAATGGGGTCTCAGGAAGATCCGCATGTGTGGAAAAATTGCTAAAATCGTTTGTTTACCATCCGATCGGCCTCAAACTCATTTTTAAAGATGTTTGTTAACGCTCTTCTAAAGGATGTTTCGAACTTTTTGAAAATCCATTCCTCCTTGGAGGAAATGTGGTTCAAAGATTTGGTGGGTGAAGTTTCGCGCTCATATTCAAAGAACTTAATGAGAACGTGTTTCAGTAATTTCACCCGCAACAGTGGTAAATTGGCGGAAAACTGTTAGACCAGACTGGATGACTGACTGACTGGTGATGAGCACGCAGCCCACACCAAACGAGCTAAGAAGCTGACATTATCGAGGCTACCTTATGTGATGAAGGCGCTATAATAGTGTTTTCGAAAACTCGAAGTGGGAAAGAAATATTTTTTTTTGTTTGAAATTATTTTGTTCACTACACAGCCGGACTCAAATTCATTTTTAAGGATCTATGTATAAAATTGAGAGTGACGTTTCGGATTCAAGCTCCTGTTTAAGGATCTTTGTGCAAATTCATTTGTGATGTATTTCATCCCTTTTATAATATTTAGCGCTCCTGGGTAGAGAGTGGGTCAAAGCTCTATGAGGGGAAGTTTAAGGTTTTATCCGATCGGCTTATTTTCAATATACCATATTTGAGGCATAACTCACACTTTTCTCAAAATTATCAACAATGCGAATCATAGGATGTATAAACAAAATATAATTTTTTGGCTTCACAAGGGGCAAAAATTCGATGATCTTTAAACTTACTTTCACATATCAATGTTTCTTAGTTGAGACGAGGGCAAATCACAATTTCTGGCGGGATATTGCCCGTAAAATTAATGTCTTTCAAAAACTGAAACCGGGCAATACCGGGAAATACCTGTATTTAATTAAGTTTCAATCGGAAATAAAAAGTTAGCTTTGAACAAGGCAGCACAGCAAAATGTACTTGATGAGACTCGATATCTTTCTCAATTAAATGCATTAAGTGAGAATATGTTTTAGCTGACTTAATGCTCCGACCATATAGTTCTCTTAGAAGTTGTAAATTGATTAGCTGCTTGCTCTAAGCTGCTTTCAGTTTGCTTTGAGCTCTCAGGTAGACGAGAAATGGATGCGGCTAAGCATGTTGGAAATATGAAAATTCTAGGAAAACTAGTTTTGGTGCTAATTGGCACTTTGCTGAGCGGTGAATGGCAACTTTTATTTAAGTGTATGATTTGCAATATGCTAATGCTTTGCATTTTCAGCCACTGCAGGCGCGGAGTTGAACTGCGGCAACCTCGAGGAGCGATTGCTCTTCAGCAAAGACAAGTCAACGCAGCCCGCCGAGTACCCCTGGATGGGAGTACTCTTCCAACGCAAAGGTGAGCTGGTAGGCGTGTAAGCCGTAGAGCACAACCTTTGATAGGGACTATTTCGATCGTTGTTAGGTCAGTCATTTGAGAACGCCGGCTGCAATGTGGTCATCGTGGGCGAATCGCATGTCCTGACCACAGCATCGTGTGTGCGAGACCATTATGACCACCCGGAGATGATTGCCGTGCGGCTGGGCATTTGGAATGAAAGGGATGAGCCCGACGAGAAGCTAGTCTGCAATGATAGAGGTTTTTGTGTGCCTGGGCCCGTGCAGCAAACGGTTGCGGCGATTACGATGCATCCACAGGCGGATAAGGTTACGGGCGACATTGATTTGGCCATTTTGCGGCTATCGGATCGGATCAAAATGACTGCCCACGTGCAACCGCTGTGCTTGCAGCCAATTTCAGAGCCCGCCTCATGGATCAATCGGTATTTCCACTTCGGCGGCTTTGAAAACAGTAACTACCGCAAGGGCAAAGGTCTTGCAATGGTCGTATCGAAAAATCGCTGTAGCCGGATGAGTGGAAAATCGAGCCCATCGCAAAATCAGTTCTGCGCATTTCCTGTTGAGCGCACTGTCTTCTATAGAGGCGCTGCCCTGATGGGCATGAACATTGAGAAAGATGTGCCGCGAAGCTTCTATTTGGTGGGTTTACTGGTAAAGGTTGTGAGTGACGGAGGTCCGACGGTTTTATTTATCCAAGACATAAAACCCTGGCGCCGCTGGATTATGGAGAATACCCGCTAAGCGAGCGTATATTGATAATCAATTTTATAAAATATGTAAATCTGTTATATAATAATTTCCGTAAATATATTTTTCTTGCTTGACTAGACTTGACTTGCTTGTTGATTGGGTCTTTCCACTATATAACTATTCACAGTATATAACTGGAATTCTAATGAATGTAATTGTGAAAAAGTGGGTCGCGAGTATAGTTTTAGGATATTTTTAGAGAATTGAACAAGCGGAACTGGTAGAACAATGTATGTTAGGACCAGTCACGGTAGATGAATTGTAGAATCGGTTCAGTCATTCAAGTAACTGAACAAGAAGGATCCGTGATTAAATTTTAGATTTGAGCAATGATGTAGGCATGCCCAAGCCAAAGACACTCTGGTCTGCCTGGTATAGACAATTAAAAAATACTTGGGTCTAATACGAAATTCTTCTTTCCAGAAACTTTAAATAGGAGAACAGCATTAAGAAGTTCTTTAAATTAAAAGAACGTCCTTCAGATAAAAAATTACAACTTGGATCACATTTGTAATTGATTCAAATTAAAATTCTCGTTTTTCTCTGAGTGTACTTTCAAAGAATACAAGTGAAGCCAAACTTATCGAGCAACCCTCTTATTGTTTTACAATATTACAATGCCTTTACTGGCGCTAATGTCATAGATATAAGATTTCCAGTTTAGTTAATTTCAAGTCGTGCTCCCAGATGCAGCTTGAGTTCGGTTTGTTTTGTGTGCTTCTCGCCACCGGAGCTGTGCGATCAGCCAGCTTGGAAGATGCCAAATGTGGTTACATAAGCGAGGAGGAGCTGCTAAGGCAGAATAATTTTGCGGTGCCCACGGAGCATCAGTGGCTGGCACGCATAATGTATAAAAATGGTAAGATATCGAGCAGAGGACACGTTAGGCACTAATTGATCCAACCACCAGGACACGAGACCAAGCTGCCAAATGATGGATGTCTCGGCGTGCTCATATCCCCGCGTAATGTTTTGGCCCCCGCCCACTGTTTCCTGCTGTACGATGGGCGTGCCAATGCCTACTCTGTGCAGCTGGGCGTATGGAACAAGACCTCCAAGGCAAACGAGGCTGACTGCGCTACCGATGGCTACTGCGTAATGCCTGCCCAGGAAATACCAATAGTGGGGGTCGCTATACATCCCGAGTACGATCCAGTTTCGCTGAAGCACAGTCTGGCGGTGCTCACCCTCAAGCGGGATGCGGGTCGGACAACAAATGTAATGCCCGTCTGCATGCCGCCCTCGTCGTCGTTGCATGAGACTCTGGTGGGGCAGCTGTTCGTTGTAGCCGGCCTGCCCACCAATTCTGAGCTCAAGCACAAGACCTGGGTGCATACCATCAGTAGACCCTATTGCCAGGAAAAGCATGGCACACTCGTTACCAACAACCACACCGTCTGCGGCTATCAGGATCGCATGAAGATGTATTACGTGGGCGCACCACTGGTGGGCATACAGGTGAGCTCGGATGAGCCGCAATACTTTTACCTGGTTGGCCTGCTGCTCGACTCCAAAAAGGTGGACGATAAAGAGCTCATCGTAGCCAGCTATTTGGATTTGCGTCCCTACATAGAATTTATAAAGCGCAATTCCGAATTTTAATTCTGAATCGGCTGTATTAATTATTCAGTAACCAAACACAGAATTTGTATATAACTATATTATATTTATATTCATTTGATTCCAATTGCTATTATGGAATCCGGATATGATAGTATTACAAATTTCACATGTCGTTTAACTTTGAGAGCTATATTTCTATAGCTGTCATTTAAATTTGTAGGTAAAAAGTTGAGCATAAGCATTGGACTACTACATTGTATAGACTTAATAGGAGCTTAACGCATCAACATCGGAACACAATCTCATAAATTCTCGAAAGAAACTGCCGGAAGGTGAGCTCCTATGTATAAATCGTTCGAAATTTAAAAAAGGTGTCTAAAAATTAACTTTAGAAACAAACAAGTTCTTTTAAGTTAATGATTCTAGCCAGCGTGTAGCTGATATACATAATGGGCCCATAAAGCTTCCAGGCCAATGCGCACACGGCAAGAACAAGTACAACAATGTCTATGCCAGAATAACAGTCCTCGCCGGGAGAGCACACATTTAGGCGCCAAATGGCTCTATGCAAAGCAGAGGATGCCAGCACGTTCTGTTCTTCGACGTCGCTTTTGTTTGTTTTCTTTGCACTGCATTAAAATCACAATAAAATTTAAATTGCCAAACAAAAACAAACTAAAACGTGCACGAATGCATGGACTGATGGGGCTGGCGTCTAAATAAACTGCCAAAAGGGGGTGGCACCAAGAGGGAGAAATAGTGGGTGGTCTTGGTTGTTTACGTGCAATATGCAAAAACGCGATTCAAAACAAAACAGAAACCGAACAGCTGAACAGCAGAGAGACAGTGAGTGACTTTGAGAGAGAGAGGGGGGCGGGTTGAGGTGGGAGGGAAAGAGTGTGCAAGAGAGTAAGGTTGTGCTCTCGGGGCACGCGTGGGTGCTGAGTGCGAGCTTACAGCAACAACAATAGTCGAGGACAACACGCGGCGTATACGCAATGTGACAGTTTTAATGGTTATGGTCAAGCGCAACGCTTGAGCGAGGGCACGCGCCCACAGCCCTAACGAAAGCGAAAGTGACGCTAAAAATTGTTACTCTCAGACACACCTGGACTAGACTCGGGCGCAACAACAGCAACGGACAATGGGTGAATGGGCGGGTAACGAGGCAACCACAAAATGCGCACTTCAAAAATTTCGCCATGAAACGCGCGCCAAAATGTTTCAATTTCAGGCAAGTACAGACAGTTGGACTGCGTGGGCGGTTGCGCTTGGTTTGTCCTTGTTAGAGATGTAGGTGTATCCTTCTTTTTGCTGAGCGTGTGCTGGGGGCGGACAGCGCGTGGGCTGGCAACCGGTCGCCCCAGCCAGGCTGCCCCTACTTACTCGGCTACTCAGTTGGAGCATCTATGTATGTGGTGGCATGTGTGCTGGTTAGGGCATATCATATATCTTATGTACGTCAGCATGCCACCTGCGTTGGTATATTTTTCTGGCTAAAAGGCTGAGAGTTATTTATAATGTTCTGCTGCGAACTGCGTACGTTGCTTTGGTTATGAGTGCGCATCGATGCGTTAAATGTTTTTATATAATTTACTTAAGCACTTAATGGCATTGTGGCATGGTGTGGGGCATGCCACATACTTTACGCAATTCTTGTCGTTCTTTTTTCCGCTCTCTTGCACGATTCCTTACATAAAAAAAAGGGAACGCTTCGCTGCTGGCTGAGCCCCTTGCCTTAATTCAATTACATATATGAAGCAAATTTTTGTTGTTCCATATAATTTGGAGCAACTCAAAACTGAGCACCGAACGGATACACAAAAGGCACACGCACATAGATACACACAAGCACAGACGCGTGCCTACACACATACAGCTACACACAAAACTTATGCTGGCGCAGAAGTCGTGGACTGTTTAGTCGAAAGCAACTGCCACTTAAACTTGCCTTTTTCACTAGTTTTTCTAGGCTTAGGAAAAACTCTTGTAGCTTGCTTGTAGCTGCTGGCGTTTTTCCAGCTTTCTTTGAAGCGCGCGTCGCAGTCACTTGGCACTCTGGTCGTTTCTGGCCAGGAATCTCAACGTCAACTGAAACGATTCCTGAGCGGGCCTTCATGTTGCCTCGATAGCGGCCAAAGCTCGATTTTGCTTCCCAAAAGCACTCTCTCACACCCACCAAAGCTTTCTCTCTTGGCTCTGCCTCTCTTTTGGCCAGTTGTTGACACTTGTTTGAGATTTTCTTGCGCTTTGCATTCTGTTTGTTTTGGCTGTGGGTCGGAAGTTGTTTTGTAGCCCCGTGTTTCGGGCTGGAAAGGCTACAGTTCCGTCGCCGTAGACTATGCGAAGGACTCAATAAATTTTTTGGTAATGACAACTATTTATACCCTGTTCACAAACGGAGAAAAGTACATTGGTTTTGTGCAATGCCCGTTTGACAGGAATGTGATACGTTTTATTGGCCACCCCCACTAAGGAGCTCGACAAGGCGCGCATATTTATCAGATCGAATTTAAGAGCTTGGTTGATATCCACATAATGCCGGGTAAACCTTAAGTGTTTTGGTGTAAAAAGTGGGATGTTAACAGAGTATTGCCAGTAGGTTTTACCCGACAGCAACCTTCTTTCAGATTGGGCTTGATAGCCAACTGTTGAAGGTGGGAAGGCTTTGGGGAGACATGGTGGATATGAAAATGTTGACTCAGTTAGATAGTTTATAATGATGTCTTAACACTCCCTTATATGCTCGTCAGGTATCATAAATAAAAAACACGCCTTATCGACATAAAAATCAAAATGTTTTTGAAGACTCATTGATCTAAACTGGTTTAAGAATTTGGCAAAGATGATCGTTGCGTTAAACAAATGGTATGGGTGTATGATGGGTAAATTAACATATGAATGAATCTGGTGATTGGGAGCTGCCAATGGACAACTGCTCCCAAGCGAAGACTTTCAACGCTTTCAGAATGGGGTTAGTTGGGCCCAGACATGCATAAGTATTAATTTGGTTGTTTTGACATGGATATTGTCAAATTGATGCAAAAACTTTCACTGTCCCATCAGTCAGCCAAAATACCATTCAAATCAGCCAAGATCTAAGTATGGTAAAGAAAAGTTAAGTGGGAATTCTGTTGACAATTTAAGTTCAAACTGAATTTAGTATCAGTTGGTTTTAACCCAGCGAAGAACACGGCTGTGTCTTCAGATTTGTACAATATTTATAAACAAATATTTTCAATGCATTGGCAACTGTGGGCGGCATTCCTGATGCTGGCGTGGCAAGGTGCTCCGAACCATATCCAAGCAGCCAGGACAAATAACTTAAATGTTCGGCAGCATTGGAAGACACAGGCGCAGAAAAATTCTGGGTAAGCAAATTATCTTTGTACTGGACCAAATGGTCGTAATTATATATATTATTATTATTTTTATTTATATATTTTTATGTCTACAATCATTTAATACGTCATTTTTTCTTGTCTTTTAGCAGCACTCAAATTATTTATCCCAGATACGAGCTTATCCAGAGCAGATTCCCCAGTGACGGGCTCAAGCGTAATCGCAACTTAGCAGGTCAAGCGAAGGCAGCGCCCTCGACCACTACTGAGCGACCTTTTCTGCGTGTCTGGAACAGCTTTTTGCGCAGCGTGCAGCCGAATTTCGGCCTGCATAATCTGACCAATCCGTTGGTCAACTTGTTCAACAATGGCAACACCAACATCGTTGAAACGCTGCCAGTGCAAGCTGTGTACACTGACGAGCATGAGGAACAGCTGCAGCAGGAACAGTCATCGACATCTGGAACGCAGAATGCCAACAAACGCAAGCGTAAGCGGCGAAAGCAACAAAAGCGTAGACCAGTATATGACTCACAGGAGCAGGATGATCCTTATGACTACTACGGCGCCCCATTACCCGTGTCGCTGCCACAGCACCAACCAATGTTCTACTATGGTCCGAGCGACTACTACGGCATGCGTCGCTTGCAACACTATAATGATTATGCCGTTCAGCCAAACTATTATGATCAATACTTTGAAGGTAATTTACTGCCAGAAGATGACGCACAGGATGCTGCTGAGGAGAACCTAGGTGAACTTAATGCAAAAGCGTATACCGTACTGCGACCAATCAGCTTGGCTATTAAATTGCCCAACGAAGAATTATCAGTAGAAACAACACTTGACGAATCAAACGACGAGAATTTAGCATATGAAGGCGAAGATGAAACTTACGGAATCGTTACTGAAGGTGGCGTCGGTTCTGCAGCAACCGATGCAACGAACGACGACCATGAGCTCTCTGAGAGCATGCGCAATGCACTTGGCGCATATATGCGAGACGATCACCGCAACCGTCAGCGCCAGCGTCAATCCGACACACATCGAGAAATGGGAGCGCCAGCTAAAGTAAAACCACGCAAGCACCAGCGTTACTTACTTGCTGCACGCCTGGTTAAGAATCATCAATAAACTATGTGTTATAATGAAAATGATGTATATTTTGATGGTGTTTGTTAGTCTGACTGTGGTATGTGTTGATGTGAAATGAAGTTGACATCTGCAAAAGGGGAAAAACAAGAGTTAATGTAGTTAGATTTTCTATAATTGCACTAGTTGTATTAACATTGAGGTAGACATATAAACTTACTATACAATCACAGAAAACGTGATCATTATAATGTGGAGCGTTAAGTAGGCGTCAAACGAGCTGCGTAAGCCGTGACGCGTTGCCAGCATTGGGGTCCACAGGCAATGCCACATCTTTTACATGCTGCACATTGTGAAAGTAGGCATGTTGAAGTGCATCCTTGGCAGATATGCGCAGATTTGGATCGTAGCACAGCATCGACTGCAGTTAAGTGTAACCGTTAGTAAGCACTGTTTAAGATTTAATCTCGATTGGGGAATTACCATAATGAGATCGTTTGCTTCATGTTCGCGTATGGCCGTTGGCACATTGGATGCTTCCCATTTGGGAAACTTTGCCTTAAAGTCCGGCAGCTGTGTAACACCCGGCCATTTGCTTTCATCGGGTGTGCTTAGTGTGCGAAAGATGCGATACAATTGATCGATTTCGCTGTCGCCTGGAAACAACGAACGCCGCATGATCTGTAAAGGAAATTCTCACTGATAAAGGCCACAGATATAAATACTTTATGTCTAACCATTTCGGAAAATATACAGCCCAGGCTCCAGATGTCCACGCCCGTCGAATAGAACTTGGTGCCCAGCAGTATTTCAGGCGCCCGATACCAAAGTGTTACTACCTCATGTGTATAGGCGCGCATGGGCACATTGAATGCACGAGCCAAACCGAAATCAGCTAGCTGAAATTGGCTTATTAGTAGATAATCTGTTAGGAAGCTGTGGTACACTACCTTAATATTGCCTGCCGTATCAACAAGTAGATTCTGCGGCTTGAGATCCCGATGCAGTATTCGATTCGTGTGGCAAAAGTCGAGTGCATCGAATATCTGATACATGTAGCTCTGTAGAATTAATAAACGTGGAAATGAGCATAGAATTTTGTTACATTGACTCTTGAGATAGACCACCCACTTTAATTAGCTGTGGTGTAAAGACATCCTTTTTCTTATCCATAAGTTTCTTGAGATCCATGTTGAGGTACTCGAATATCATGTATAGATTGTTGCCAGATATAACAACATCAAAAAGTTGTACTACGTTTTTGTGCTTAAGGTTTTTCAATAAAGATATTTCCCGTATGGCAGTCGATGGAACTCCTTCCGATTCGCTGAGAAAAGACAGGATAGATTAGCATATGACAAATAATACAATATAATACATACGTATGTATGTAGCCTATATTAATCTAAAGCGTCGACGCCCACTGTTGCAGTTTCGTGCACCACGAAGCCGAATCATGTGGTGCTACGTACCTCTAAACAGCGCAACACGCACAGGACCCGGGCTTCGTTGTGCAGCTGTTGAGCCGGCCAAGCCGTTTGACATTCGTCAAGGACATCAAGGATACCGCGCAGCTGCCAGCAGATGCGGGTCAATAACTTGCCACCAGCTATCGAATTTGGCGTTAATGCATCTTAGCATCTACATTACTTGCATCGACGCATTCTTGAGTTGTGTCCACATCAATTGAGTCCTTCACATTTTGACTGCTACATACCCTTCTAGGCGGATTTTCTTGAGTGCGACGTCCTGGCCAGTTTGATTGTTGCACGCTTTGTACACAATGCCGTATGTGCCTTCGCCGATTTTCTCGGCGCGTTGAAAGTTGTCTAAAGCCGTTGTCATTGCTCCTAGATAAACTCAAAAAATGTTTAACGGATCAGATTTGGCATAATCTTCCCTCCAAATTTTGTAATATATCTTTTATAGTGATGGCAGAAGCGACATCACGCTTTAAGAGTTAATTATTCAATATATCGATTGTCTTTACTATCGATTGACCTGGGCGAATACATCGATTACAAGTATCGATATAGCAAGAGAACAGGATAGTAATCGAATAAATAATCCTTATGTACATAGCATTGTAAATATAATAGTTGATTTATTAGCTGGTGCTAAATCATGCTTACGAGTAAATAACACATACATATAAAATACTAAAAAATACCAACTACATATCACATTATTACAAGCATGCATTCATTTTAAGCAAACACCTCGCAAATATTTCAAGAGTGGTTTTTATTACACGGGTTGTTTATTATATGGTTGTTGTGTGTTTTTGTTTACTGTAGTATTGCTTTTTTCGCGGCTAGTACATGGTATTTTGTTTCACATATGTATAGTTAATATATAAAAAAAATATACATATAGAGACAGCAAAATCGCAGTTACATAGCTACAATACAAATCCGAATTGCTGTCTTATAGATACCAAGCAACCCAACGAAGCCAACATAGAATTTTTCAAAATCCATAGTTTTTTCAAATTTTTTAAAATTATACTTTTCGTACCCTTTTGCGATGTAAGTTTATTCATTTTGATAAAACTTGCGCAAGGAAAATATTTCTATTTTTTCATTTCATGTCTAAGTTTTTTAATTTTGTTATTAAATACTTCATCTTTTGTTATTTTCAAATGTTTGTTATTAACAAATAATTGTTTTTTGTCTTAAATATAGTTTTACATTTTTGCTACAAGCATTCCTCAAAAGTAAATTTATATAAAAAATATAAGCTTACCCCTCAGGCAATTAAGAATGATACATTGTCAACAAATTGTAAGTAAGCAATATTTTTTTAAAGGAATATTTAAGGTTGCAGGGGTATTTTTTACATATTATATTTTTCGGTTTTTATTATCGTAAGCACGATCTATAATCTAGGTGATTAAAAGCCTATTATTTGATTGATATAATGTTGGAGGATTTAAAATATTAATTGCATGTAATTTGCCCGAAGGGGATACTGTGAAATTCAATTCCTGTTGTTTACATGCCCTGCCAGGCTCAGCTTATGGGCGATTATTCACCCTTTCCCAATCGACCCATTGGTTGCGAGCTGCGAGTTGCTCAATTTGTGTTTTACGTGTTTCAATAAAAATGCCATAAAAGAGTGCTTGTCTTGGGGCTGCTCCTGGTTGTTTATGTGGGGACATGGTGCAAGTATTTTGCGTGCTGCTTTGACAGACATTCGCGTGCAAATATTTTTTGCTCCTGCTCAGTAGCGGGTGGTGTGTTGGTCGGAGGGTTTGTTGCCAACCTTCTCGGAATCACGTTTAATGGGACATTAATCATGGCTGACAGGGCGAGCGGGACAGCGCAGCGGAGGCATAATCAGCTCATAACTAATAGTCATTTGTTGACTAAATTAAACGCCTTCAGCGCCCAACATCCACCTGACCTCAAGGACATTACGCGCTGATCGTACGCAACGAGCGACAACAATTAGCAAGAACTTACAGGAAAACAAGCTGCCAGCAGGCAGGAACTACTTGTAAATATCTTAGGAAGGAACCGAGGACCAAGTGAGTGCAGAGACAACTGCAGCCGCTTAGTGCTTGGAGTTGAATTTATGACTGCAAGCGTTGGGTAATTCCCAAACTCGATGCTCTGCACACTGTTTGCTTGTGGTTGCTTGATAAGGTTGCAGTGGGTCTCCTCTGTTTGGCACAGTTAAATATAAATTATGCTATGCTGATATGTACTTCAGGTTTTGGCGCCAACCAAGAGCCGCAAAATATGTAAAAAATTGCAATTTAGCAGTGTCGAGCAAATAAAAAGTGTGGACCAAAAGGTTTGGCTACCTAATGACCAAAGTTTGTGGGCAAATTCGGGCAGTAATTACATTGGCAGCAGCGACGACAATGAGCAACCCGGCCAACCCAAACCCAAATGCAAACCCACTTTCCGTGGAAGTTCCGTGTGATTTATGCATTTGGGTTACGGCTCCAATGAGTTACTTGGCGTAAATAACTTGGAGGCACAATTTATTAACGGTGCAATAGAAAATTTAGGTACAGCATCAACGGGATGCCAGTTAAGTGAAAACTTTGTAATTTGTATACGTACTCTGGCATTTCGGCATTCTATTCTTCTTCGCTCTTTTTTTTTTTGGTATGCATTAATCTTAACAGTCCAACATTTTATCATGGATATTCAGTTGTTCTTATTTGTACCCAACACTTTTTAGTGGCCAAACATCTGTTTCGATTCCCGACTGAATTTCCCAGATTTCCATTTAACTTATTTACTTATGCTTTAATTACTCACTGAGTGTGAAATATAAGCCTTTGCTGCTATTGAATTTTCACATCGGTTTTGGTTGATGGTACTTTAGTTTATATTTCATTTAATTTACATTTTTTGTTTCCATTAGTATCAAATTACTTAAATTTTTCGGAGAATTCAGAAGTCGAGCATCGCCACAAATTGATGAGCATGATTTTTTATAAAAAAAAAAAATTGTTATTCGCTTGAAGTGTTCATGTTTCTGCAATTGTATATTTCAATTAATTGAGTTGCCAGAAAAAAAACAACATAAATAGTTAAAGCTTCAATGCATTTATTTGCATATTTGAAGCATGCATTGAATCTCAAAAGCCTAATTGAACGTAATGTAATTAATTAAATGGGGTTTTTTCACAGTTGTTCATTCGCATTCAAAATAAAATTAAAATGAGAGTAGAGTTAAGGTGTGCAAATAAAATGCAAGTGCACCAGGAGTCGCGTCCTTTCAGAGCTACGGGATGTCACCTTAAAGGTTAAAATGTCAAAGTTTGTTAACGAAACAAGGCCAACGGGAATTGTGGCTAGAATAGTTGCAGCTTTCGCTTGTAATTACCGCTAACGAGCAGGCGGCGCGTGTGCTAGAGTAACAATGCCACAGGATATTGACACACAGGAAATGCAATAACAGCGAGTGTGCAACAATGTCAATAACAACAACAACACATACTAATGCAGTGTAAATCCGAGCATTGTCATCAATTGAAGCAAAAATTCAGCTTGTAAACTCGGCACAAAATCAAAACAGTTACAAAGTTCGCTTACATAGCTACATAAAATATATGTATAGACTAGTTGCAGGACACCCACACACCCACACACACACACATACACACACACACACAGCGGTACTAGTGTGAACAGCTAAGCTGGCAATGAGGCCAACAATGCGGCCGCAACAACAACTGCAGCCAATGCTCGAGGCAACTGCCGCTGCTTGAATTTAATTCCAATTGAATTGCGTTCAACAACGGCTTTCATTCCATCATCCAAGTACATTTGTGTGTGTGGGTGTGTGTATATATATATATGTGGGCAATCGTGTGTAAAGCCAATGGCGGCGCTTCTTTTTTTTTTTTTGCTGGACGCGCACAACCTTCTTTCTTAGTTTAAAATAAATGAAAATGGATAAATATAAAAAATAGTATGTGGCGATAAGCGGTAATGATTTCTGCTGGCAGTGAAAGCTCAATAACATAAAAAGGACAAAGAACAAAAAGTGAATATGATAAAAATAAAATGGATGCAACTGCCTAACAGAATATTAAATTTCAGCTGAAAGAGTCTGTCATACATAATAGCAACCTGGTTTTTACCCGCCACGTCCAAAGTTATATTTTATATAGATTTTTGAAGATTAGATAAGTCTTTCGAATTAATTACCAAAAGTAGGAATATAATATCGTTAAAACAATCGTTGATCCACGTTTTCCATCACAAATTTTTGTTAAAAATTTTTTTAAATTGTATATTGCACCTATAATCAGACTGTGAAGAGCTGCACTTCAATTGATGGGAATCGCTTAGTTAGGCCATACTTAATAATACCTTTTGTACCCTTTTGATCAATTTTGATCAGTATCATACAGCATGTACATCTACAGTACCTATAACCATACCCGTCTCTCTTCTTCATAGAAACTAGCTCCTAATCACACTCGGTATGTATTAAAATAAAAATTCATAGCTTGGAAATGATCAACACATGTTCATAAAGAAAATATAGAGTTGATATACAGTTTATATTTCCCTTATCCCCTTGCCTTGTTGGCAGCATGATTTGTCTATCCATTGGCACTTCATTTAAGATCGTTCACAATGATAGCAGACACCATTTAAGGGTTTGTTCTTCTCCACCACATGGATTTTCCACATAGAAAAATGCTTAACGGATGCTTAGAAAATGCTTAACGGATAAAAAGCGTGGTATGCCTAGCCACAATGAACACAATATCCATCTAATATAGACTTTGTTGGCGCATGTAGCTGGTCACGCGCATGGAATTCAGGAGAAGCTCTTCACGGGCTAGTACGGTATTTTCCGTAACCAAAATCTGACATCGAAAAGATTTTTCATTTAGCTCAGTACGCACGCAATTGGGAAGTCTTACCTGCGGTACTTGATTGGGATTGGGCCCAGCATTCGTTAATGCAATCAAGATTTATGACCGGATGCCTATGCTGTGTTTTATTTATTCAACCATGGGCATTATTTGATAAAAGACATAATACTCAGCGTTGCATAAGTCACTCAATTTCCACAGCTCAGAATTATTTCATATTTTTGAATTCTCAGTGTAAGTCTATGATCATTTATATCATTAATATTCTTCCATTTTTTAAATTCGTTTATTCACATATAATTATAGCTTCAATAACGTCATACATTTGAAGTTAATATAAGAGTATAAGAGTTTCTTAGTCAGTCATTTGATTATTTCCACATTGCTTACAATGACAACACGTGTTTTTGCCCAGCTATTACTAACATATACTCCCTCTTCTTAGAAGACATGTTGATTATATTAGTAAAAATTTTGAAGTTGACAATGTAGATTTAAAATAAATATGATGTATTATTGTAATCCTCAATCAAATATGAATTATTAT